AATGGTTAGCGTTAGCTCGCCACGCTATGTAACCTGATTCTGAAGCAACAAATGGTCAGCGTTAGCTCGCCATGCCATGTAACCTGATCCTGAAGCATCAAAGAGTTAGCGTTAGCTCGCAACACTATGTAACCTGATTCTGAAGCAACAAAGAGTTAGCGTTAGCTTGCCACTCTACGTAACCTGATCTGGAAGCAACACATGGTTAGCGTTAGCTCGCCACGCTAACTAACCTGATTCTGAAGCATCAAAGAGTTAGCGTTAGCTCGCAACGCTATGTAACCTGATCCTGAAGCATCAAAGAGTTAGCGTTAGCTCGCAACGCTATGTAACCTGATCCTGAAGCATCAAAGAGTTAGCGTTAGCTCGCAACGCTATGTAACCTGATTCTGAAGCAACAAAGAGTTAGCGTTGGCTTGCCACTCTACGTAACCTGATCTGGAAGCAACAAATGGTCAGCGTTAGCTCGCCACGCTATGTAATCTGATTCTGAAGCAACAAAGAGTTAGCGTTAGCTCACCACTCTACGTAACCTGATCTGGAAGTAAGACATGGTTAGTGTTAGCTCGTCGTGCTATGTAACCTGATTCTGAAGCAACAAATGGTTAGCGTTAGCTCGCCACGCTATGTAACCTGATTCTGAAGCAACAAAGAGTTAGCGTTAGCTCGCCATGCCATGTAACTTGATCCTGAAGCATCAAAGAGTTAGCGTTAGCTCGCCACGCTAACTAACCTGATCCTGAAGCATCAAAGAGTTAGCGTTAGCTCGCCACGCTAACTAACCTGATCCTGAAGCATCAAAGAGTTAGCGTTAGCTCACCACGCTAACTAACCTGATCCTGAAGCATCAAAGAGTTAGCGTTAGCTCGCCACTCTACGTAACCTGATCCTGAAGCATCAAAGAGTTAGCGTTAGCTCGCCACGCTATGTAATCTGATTCTGAAGCAACAAAGAGTTAGCGTTAGCTCGCCACGCTAACTAACCTGAATCTGAAGCAACAAAGAGTTAGCGTTAGCTCGCCACTCTACGTAACCTGATCTGGAAGCAACACATGGTTAGCGTTAGCTCGCCACGCTAACTAACCTGATTCTGAAGCATCAAAGAGTTAGCGTTAGCTCGCAACGCTATGTAACCTGATCCTGAAGCATCAAAGAGTTAGCGTTAGCTCGCAACGCTATGTAACCTGATCCTGAAGCATCAAAGAGTTAGCGTTAGCTCGCAACGCTATGTAACCTGATTCTGAAGCAACAAAGAGTTAGCGTTGGCTTGCCACTCTACGTAACCTGATCTGGAAGCAACAAATGGTCAGCGTTAGCTCGCCACGCTATGTAATCTGATTCTGAAGCAACAAAGAGTTAGCGTTAGCTCACCACTCTACGTAACCTGATCTGGAAGTAAGACATGGTTAGTGTTAGCTCGTCGTGCTATGTAACCTGATTCTGAAGCAACAAATGGTTAGCGTTAGCTCGCCACGCTATGTAACCTGATTCTGAAGCAACAAAGAGTTAGCGTTAGCTCGCCATGCCATGTAACTTGATCCTGAAGCATCAAAGAGTTAGCGTTAGCTCGCCACGCTAACTAACCTGATCCTGAAGCATCAAAGAGTTAGCGTTAGCTCGCCACGCTAACTAACCTGATCCTGAAGCATCAAAGAGTTAGCGTTAGCTCACCACGCTAACTAACCTGATCCTGAAGCATCAAAGAGTTAGCGTTAGCTCGCCACTCTACGTAACCTGATCCTGAAGCATCAAAGAGTTAGCGTTAGCTCGCCACGCTATGTAATCTGATTCTGAAGCAACAAAGAGTTAGCGTTAGCTCGCCACTCTACGTAACCTGATCTGGAAGCAACACATGGTTAGCGTTAGCTCGCCACGCTATGTAACCTGATTCTGAAGCATCAAAGAGTTAGCGTTAGCTCGCAACGCTATGTAACCTGATTCTGAAGCAACAAAGAGTTAGCGTTAGCTCGCCACGCTATGTAACCTGATTCTGAAGCAACAAAGAGTTAGCGTTAGCTCGCCACGCTAACTAACCTGATTCTGAAGCAACAAAGAGTTAGCGTTAGCTCGCCACACTATGTAACCTGATTCTGAAGCAACAAAGAGTTAGCGTTAGCTCGCCACGCTATGTAACCTGATTCTGAAGCATCAAAGAGTTAGCGTTAGCTCGCCACGCTAACTAACCTGATTCTGAAGCAACAAAGAGTTAGCGTTAGCTCGCCACGCTATGTAACCTGATTCTGAAGCATCAAAGAGTTAGCGTTAGCTCGCCACGCTATGTAACCTGATTCTGAAGCAACAAAGAGTTAGCGTTAGCTCGCCACGCTAACTAACCTGATTCTGAAGCAACAAAGAGTTAGCGTTAGCTCGCCACGCTATGTAACCTGATTCTGAAGCATCAAAGAGTTAGCGTTAGCTCGCCACGCTAACTAACCTGATCCTGAAGTTTCAGTTTTAATATCTTCACAGCTTATTGCTAATAATAATAATAATTGATGAGTCTGTTTCAGGCAGGAAAAGGAGCAGCAGTTTAGATCAAGAAGAAAATCTGATCAGCACGATTATTAATCTGGATCCACTGAATCACTTTCATTATGGATCTGAAGGCCAGCAGCAAAAACACGACGAGGAGGGAGGAGCCTTCACCACCTTCACCACCTTCGCCGCCTTCGCCGCCTTCGTGATCCTGTGTTACTCTGTGTGTGTGTCTCTGTGTGTAACCCTGTGTGTGTGTCTCAGTGTGTAACCCTGTGTGTGTGTCTCTGTGTGTAACCCTGTGTGTGTGTGTCTCAGTGTGTAACCCTGTGTGTGTGTGTCTCTGTGTGTAACCCTGTGTGTGTGTGTCTCAGTGTGTAACCCTGTGTGTGTCTCTGTGTGTAACCCTGTGTGTGTCTCTGTGTGTAACCCTGTGTGTGTGTCTCTGTGTGTAACCCTGTGTGTGTGTGTCTCAGTGTGTAACCCTGTGTGTGTGTGTGTCTCAGTGTGTAACCCTGTGTGTGTGTGTCTCTGTGTGTGTCTCTGTGTGTAACCCTGTGTGTGTGTGTCTCTGTGTGTAACCTTGTGTGTGTGTGTCTCTGTGTGTAACCTTGTGTGTGTGTGTGTGTGTGTGTGTCTCTGTGTGTAACCCTGTGTGTGTGTCTCAGTGTGTAACCCTGTGTGTGTGTCTCTGTGTGTAACCCTGTGTGTGTGTGTCTCTGTGTGTAACCCTGTGTGTGTGTCTCTGTGTGTGTGTGTCAGTGTGTGTGTGTGTCTCTGTGTGTAACCCTGTGTGTGTGTGTGTCTCTGTGTGTGTGTCAGTGTGTGTGTGTGTGTCTGTGTGTAACCCTGTGTGTGTGTCTCAGTGTGTAACCCTGTGTGTGTGTGTCTCAGTGTGTAACCCTGTGTGTGTGTCTGTGTGTAACCCTGTGTGTGTGTCTCTGTGTGTAACCCTGTGTGTGTAACCCTGTGTGTAACCCTGTGTGTGTGTCTCAGTGTGTAACCCTGTGTGTGTGTGTGTCTGTGTGTGTAACCCTGTGTGTGTGTCTCAGTGTGTAACCCTGTGTGTAACCCTGTGTGTGTGTGTGTCTGTGTGTGTAACCCTGTGTGTGTGTCTGTGTGTAACCCTGTGTGTGTGTCTCTGTGTGTAACCCTGTGTGTGTAACCCTGTGTGTAACCCTGTGTGTGTGTCTCAGTGTGTAACCCTGTGTGTAACCCTGTGTGTGTGTCTCTGTGTGTAACCCTGTGTGTGTGTGTCTCAGTGTGTAACCCTGTGTGTGTCTCTGTGTGTAACCCTGTGTGTGTGTCTCAGTGTGTAACCCTGTGTGTAACCCTGTGTGTGTCTCAGTGTGTAACCCTGTGTGTGTGTCTCAGTGTGTAACCCTGTGTGTAACCCTGTGTGTGTGTCTCTGTGTGTAACCCTGTGTGTGTGTCTCTGTGTGTAACCCTGTGTGTGTGTGTCTCAGTGTGTAACCCTGTGTGTAACCCTGTGTGTGTGTCTCAGTGTGTAACCCTGTGTGTGTGTTTGTCTCTGTGTGTAACCCTGTGTGTGTGTCTCAGTGTGTAACCCTGTGTGTGTGTTTGTCTCTGTGTGTAACCCTGTGTGTGTGTCTCAGTGTGTAACCCTGTGTGTGTGTTTGTCTCTGTGTGTAACCCTGTGTGTGTGTGTCTCTGTGTGTAACCCTGTGTGTGTGTCTCAGTGTGTGTGTGTGTCTCTGTGTGTAACCCTGTGTGTGTGTGTGTCTCAGTGTGTGTGTGTGTCTCAGTGTGTAACCCTGTGTGTGTGTCTCAGTGTGTAACCCTGTGTGTGTGTCTCTGTGTGTAACCCTGTGTGTGTGTGTCTCAGTGTGTGTGTGTCTCTGTGTGTAACCCTGTGTGTGTGTCTCTGTGTGTAACCCTGTGTGTGTGTCTCAGTGTGTAACCCTGTGTGTGTGTGTCTCAGTGTGTAACCCTGTGTGTAACCCTGTGTGTGTCTCTGTGTGTAACCCTGTGTGTGTTTCAGTGTGTAACCCTGTGTGTGTGTGTCTCTGTGTGTAACCCTGTGTGTGTGTGTCTCAGTGTGTAACCCTGTGTGTGTGTGTCTCAGTATGTAACCCTGTGTGTGTCTCAGTGTGTAACCCTGTGTGTGTGTGTCTCTGTGTGTAACCCTGTGTGTGTGTGTCTCAGTATGTAACCCTGTGTGTGTGTGTGTCTCAGTGTGTAACCCTGTGTGTGTCTCAGTGTGTAACCCTGTGTGTGTCTCAGTGTGTAACCCTGTGTGTGTGTGTGTCTCAGTGTGTAACCCTGTGTGTGTGTGTCTCAGTGTGTAACCCTGTGTGTGTGTGTCTCAGTGTGTAACCCTGTGTGTGTGTGTGTCTCAGTGTGTAACCCTGTGTGTGTGTCTCAGTGTGTAACCCTGTGTGTGTGTGTCTCTGTGTGTGTGTCTCTGTGTGTGTCTCAGTGTGTAACCCTGTGTGTGTGTGTCTCAGTGTGTAACCCTGTGTGTGTGTCTCAGTGTGTAACCCTGTGTGTGTGTGTGTCTCAGTGTGTAACCCTGTGTGTGTGTGTCTCAGTGTGTAACCCTGTGTGTGTGTGTCTCAGTGTGTAACCCTGTGTGTGCGCGCGCTCGCTCTCCGCTCTTCCTCGGCTGCTGTCGGATTTTCTCTCTCTGGACTCTGAAGGTAAAAACTTTCCTTTTTCTCCTTTTTCTCTTTTTTTTCTTGATTAAAACGAGTCTTGAATGTTTTTAAAGGTCGCGTGCAGCGGCAGAAGGCGGTTTCCGGTTGAACAAAGTCTCGTGAAGTCGTTTCTGATCACTTTTATTGAGCAGAAGAAGCGGAGCCGCGTTCGGACGAGCTGCCATCAGTCTGACGGAATAAATCCGGTTTTAACGGAGAATAAAACCAGTTTAACGTTTTTATATTAAACTTTACGTCGAAGTGTCTTTTATACTTTTCTGCTGTCGAAAACACGAAATAATCCAATTATTTCAATCTTCTGTCATATTTAAACGGTCACCGTCTTTGAACTCGGTTTGGAGATCTTTAAAATCATGATGGTTTTATTTAAACGGCAGATTTTAAAGGACGTTTTTCTAAATTCAAACAGATTCAACGTGTTTTTCAGGGTGTTTGTTCTCTAACAGCTGATCACAGATCAGAGAGCTTTATTCCTGCAGTCCGTCCTGATGACCTGTGAGATTAGATTTAGCGTGGCAGCTGATCAGAAAGCAGCTGCTAAAGCTTTTACAGTTTGTGTCCGAAGATTTTAATAAAATGTATTATTTAGTAAAGAAAAACCTGCTGAAGGACAAAGTTCAGATGTTTGAGGACAGTCGTTTGTTGATGCAGTTGTTCTTTGCCTGGACGGTTTCTAACGTGGTCTGTCTCTGCAGGACCATGTCCCCCTCCAGCTGCAGGACTCTCTCCGCTCCTCTTCAGGGTTACTACCTGACATGAAGTACTGAAGTGTGAGGACGCAGCGCCCCCTGCTGGACTCCCGCTGCACCTGCAGGCCATGGCTGAGCCCAGCTACTCCGACCTGATTGCCAAACACTACAACTACACCGGAAAGTTCCGCAAGACGCAGCAGGACTCGGGCCTGAAGGCCGACTCGGTGGTCTTCATCATCGTGTGCTGCTTCATCATCCTGGAGAACATCCTGGTCCTCGCCACCATCTGGAGGACCAAGAAGTTCCACAAGCCCATGTACTACTTCATCGGGAACCTGGCGCTGTCCGACCTGCTGGCCGGCGTCGTCTACACCGCCAACATCCTGCTGTCGGGCGCCAACACCTACAAGCTGACGCCCACGCAGTGGTTCTTCAGGGAGGGCAGCATGTTCGTGGCGCTGGCGGCGTCCGTCTTCAGCCTGCTGGCCATCGCCATCGAGCGCCACCTCACCATGTTGAAGATGAAGCTACACAACAACGGCAACACCTGCCGCGTCTTCCTGCTCATCAGCACCGTGTGGATGATCGCGGCGGTGCTGGGCGGCCTGCCTGTGATTGGCTGGAACTGCATCCGCAGCATGACGCAGTGCTCCACCGTGCTGCCGCTCTACCACAAGACCTACATCCTGTTCTGCACCACCGTCTTCAGCGTCATCCTCATGGCCATCGTGGTGCTCTACGCTCGCATCTACGCGCTGGTGCGCACTCGCAGCCGCAAACTCGTCTTCCGCAAGGTGTCCAACGGCCGCGGCAACGCCGGCGCCAACATCAAGAGCTCAGAGAAGTCGATGGCGCTGCTGAAGACCGTCATCATCGTCCTGAGCGGCTTCATCGCCTGCTGGGCGCCGCTCTTCATCCTCCTGCTACTGGACGCGGCCTGCGAGACGCTGAGCTGCCCGATCCTCTACAAGGCCGAATGGTTCCTGGCGCTCGCCGTCCTGAACTCCGCCATGAACCCGCTCATCTACACGCTGACCAGCAACGAGATGCGCCGCGCGTTCCTCAAGACGCTGCTGTGCTGCACTTCCTGCCTCCGCCCCAACGCCAAGTTCACCGGGCCAATCATGGGGGCCGAGTTCAGCCGCAGCAAGTCGGATAACTCCTCCCACCCCAACAAGGAGGAGGCCGAGTACTCGCCAAGGGAGACGACGGCGGCGTCCTCGGGGAACGTCACCTCAACGTCCTAAATGCCAGAATGCTCGGCCACCAACGAGTCGTAGAGTCTCAGACGTAGAGTTTGTTTGTACAGGAAACAGGTGTGAACGGCGCCCGGTGATGTCATCACGGACCCATCTGAACCTTCAGCTGATCCGGACTCACACAGCACTTACGGAGACTTTCAAACCGGTTAAACTGGGACCAGCGACCCTCAGAAACAGAAGGTCCACACTTTTTAGAAGCTCACACCTGTAACGTGTCGCCGAGTCCGTCAGAACGCGTCAGCACACCTGCAGCTGGTCTCACTGCTGGATCTCAGCTGGTCCGGGTCCATTCAGGGCCCGGTCAGACCAGAGGACGCTTCCCTGACGGGGCTGTTCAAGCGTGATGTAATAGTGAAAGAGTTGTGATGCGGTGTTACTGAATAACAGATCTGAGCTTCGTAGAAAGTAGAACCAGACTTTACTGACCCTCTAAGAACTAGAACCTGTAGCGCTTAAACACACAGCTGTCAGATATTTAAGAAAAACAAACTCATTCATGAAAATGTTCTTTTCTTTCACGTCACATGAATTCAGAGCTCAGGTGCATCTCGCTCTCTGTCCAGTGTTCCAGTTTTCACACCTGACTTCAGAGGGAGAACCACGATGTAAGATCCCCGTCCGTCCTCGGGTCTCGTTACGTTGAAATCAGTTAATGAGGTAACGAATCATAAAATAAGGACGGTTTCTCCACGTTAAATATGACTCACCTGTAGGCGTCCTGCCTTCTTCCTGGAGGCTGTTGATGTTTGCAGCCTGAGAGGAAGCCTGCAGACACGACTCAGGGCTGAGAAAGTTACCTTCACATCCTTTTCTCCTGAAAACACATGAATGAAAGATAAGGCAGAAAAGGAAAGTCGTGATCTGCAGCGAGGCGTCAGGACAGGAAACACAGATCTGTAGTGGAGATGAAGGACGTGTGCGTCCTTTTTACACATTTCTTATCATTTATATTAAACATGTATAAAACACTAAGTCATCGAGTCTCAGAAGCACCTGAACTTTGATTTTATGAGTTTCTGTTGTGACATTTTTGTAAAAAGGTAACTGTGTAAAAGTTTAGAAACTGTTGGTCAGAATGTCTTTTCTACTTCCCGTCTGTGTTGTTGTTGTTGTTGTTGTTGTTGTTGTTGGCAGTAGTGACGTCAGTAGAGTCGGATTAATTTATATTTGAAACCATACAGAAAAACATTTTGTTTGTCAGATAAATGAAAGAAGGTTTTTTGTTCAGTCGTGTTTTAGAAATACGGAAGCTCGTTTCTGCCAAGAAAAAAACTGTCAAACATAAAATAAATTCAACAATAAAACTTTGTTCTACATGTTCTGGAGCTTTTCAGCAGATCACATGATCTTCAGCAGCAGCTCAGCCTTTGGATCAGAAGTGGAAATTCAAACATTTACAATTTTATAACAACTGATAAACTCCATCTGCAGAGGAAGCTCATGTGAAATGAATGAAAGCTCCAGGACAGGTACTAAATGGACCTTGTGCTGAAACTGTTCCACATGATTTACCTGTAAAATATTAAGTGAGTCACCACCAACAGATGATCTTCAGTTTTTAAGCTGCCGCTCAGAACCTCATAGAGAAATTTAATGTTTTAAGTATCATAACGTTTCAGCAGGAACGAGCTTCCATACAGATCAGACTCTGTTACCATCGTGACCAATTCTCCTTCGATTTCCGTCTGCTATCAGGAGCTGATCGATTAATCCGTTAATGTCCGTGTTTGTTATCAGACAGCCTGAACTCTGCGTGTGTGTCTGCACTGTTTAACTCCTGGATGTTGGTTTATTAGCGCTTAATAAAGACAAGTAGAAACACACGTTTTGTGTTCGAGAACAAATGAAACAAAGAAAACCTGTTTTCATCCTGAAGCTCAGAAATAATCACCAGAAAGGTAAAAACATTTAAATAAGTAGAAAAGGCGACAGAGCAAGTGAAGCAGAACACATTAAAGAAACCTGGAGTCGAAGATCTCTAGAACTGTGGGGAGTTCTCCAAGATGTTCTTCAACTTTGTGCAGGTCACACCAAGCATGTAGCTTCTGTTCACTCACTTTGTATTTTGGTAATTGATAAGAATCTATCAACATGTCTGTTTTTAAAAGCATTCTTACTTTACAACATTTTCCCCCACCTGCCTAAAACCTTTACATTTAACTAAACTACTGGTGAAGAGTTTTAGAACTCCGCCATGTTTGTAGTTCTTCTGTAAATCTAAGTAGTTCCAGAGAAAAACCAAAGTAAAGCAGCAAGCTGCCAAATTTAAAAACGTTTCCGTCACCAAACATTTTCAAATCTAAAATTAACAACTGAAGGACTTTTGTTGTTTATCTCACTGTAGGATCAACCGATGACCGGATAAAGCTTCTGAAGGTGCATTAACAGGCTGTTCCAAGGTGTTTACTGTAGAAATGTGGTTCATTTCCTTCGCCTGCTGCAGAATAACTGGAAGTTGTTAACTCATCACTTGATCCCTAAAAGTTGTAAATCTCTGAAATCTCTCAGTTTTGCTGACCTAAACTTTGTCTTTACCTTCTCTGGTTATTCAGGAAATTAAGACGCTTTTTTTACTATATATATATTATATAAATTATTAATGAAGGCAGACAGAGCAGCTGGTCATCAGTTGATCCTACGGTGAAATAATGAACATCCTTCATTTAATTGTTAATTTTAGATCTGAAAATTTTTTAGTGACAGAAACGTTTTTAACTTTGGTACCATTTAAGGTTTTGCACTGGACTTGAGATTTACAGAAGAGCTACAAACATGGACTTTAAACAGATAATTTATTCTAAATGAAACTAAATTAAGTTAAGGAGCTGCAATCCCTTTTTGATGAAGTGCAAAACTGCCTTTTACGGTTTGTTTTGGCCCTTGAAAGGTGCTTCAGGTACAGAGGACTGCACTGCACAGAGCAGGTAAAGTAATGTCGAGATGACAAGACAGATACTTTCCTTAATTTCCATGTAACCCAGCTGGAACTCGGAGGTCTGTTTTCCAAATATGAAGATGTATATTAGACATAAGCCTCCCAAAGACACGTTTATCAGCGACAACAGGCTTAAATATGTGATGACAGAACAAACTGGAAACACTTGTGATTATTTACTGATGAGATGTTAAAGTTTCAAAAAGATCCAGTTTGATCCTGAGAAAAGCAGCTGCGGAGAAACGTTTAAATGTGACTCCACCCGTCCCTCTCTCTTCTTCTGCTCCTTCTCCTCCATCACTCTCTCTGCAGCCTTTAAAGCTGGTCCATCAGAAGAAGACATGGGAGGAGGAGCTGAGGAGGAGGTCTTTAGGCTTCCTCCTGCTGTGTGCTGCCCCCCTGTGGTCACACCAGAACACTACAATAAAACACTAGTTAACACACTACAGGTACTGGGACACCCCAAGCCTAAATGGTCTCTGTTCAGGGAAATCTCAAAACTTCAGCTGCAACTTCAGACAACAGTTCTTTCTCCCACAATTGTGTTTGGCCTTTTCTTGTTTCAATACGCCCCCGTGCACATCTCCCCGTCCTCACAGGAATATAGTTCGATTATGATTTAGTGACCCTCTTTTGGACTACGATGGTAACAACAGACACATTATAATAGTGCCAAAGTCAGGTTAGGAACCCAGGACTTTCACACAGGAGAACGGCGTTCGAGTCCCGTGTGAAAACGTTGAATGTTGAGTTAGACAGCGTTACTGACTGCTTTCATGTGACTTATGAACTTTACTCACTTTAACCCAAAACATGATCTTTGCCTAAACCAACCCAAGTGGTTCTGTTGCCTAAACTCAACCAAACTACAACTGTTTTCTATGTTTCCCACGCGCTGCACATCACGAGTCACTGGCTTATGTAACATCTGGTAAGCCTGTCGCTGGCCTGATATGGAAAACACTGATATTAATCACTGATCTCACTTGACGATCGACCTGTATTGTCGTTTAAGTGTGAGGATAGGTTGTGCACAAAGCAGCTACCAAAAGAATGGTTCTTCCAGTTATGTGTGGAAGGACTGGACCGGCCGCTCAGACCCCGACCTCAACCTACCCAACACCTCTGGGATGAGCTGGAACGGAGACAGCGAGCGGTTGCTCTCGTCCAACCTCACAAACGCTCTGCTGGGTGAACGGGCAGAAACTCTTGTAGAGGAGAGGAAGCTGTTACAGCTGCTCCACAGTAATGGATTCAGAATGCGGTGTTATAAAATGATCTGGAGGTGTCTAAGCTCTTTTGTCCATATGCAGAACTAAGTGACTTTGAACGTGCATGATTGTTAGGCCAGATGGCCTGTTACACCCTGTTAGACCCTGTGAGCCGTGTTACACCTGCCACGCTGTAACAGCTCTAACAGCATGTAACAGGCGTATAACAGGCTGTAACAGGCGTGTAACAGGCGTATAACAGGCGTGTAACAGCCTGTAAGAGACTATAACAGCGTGTAACAGGCATGTAACAGGCGTGTAACAGGCGTGTAATAGGCTGTAACAGGCGTATAACAGGCGTGTAACAGCCTGTAAGAGACTATAACAGCGTGTAACAGGGTCTAACAACGTGTAACAGGCTCTAACAGCCTGTAACAGGCGTGTAACAGGCTGTAACAGGCGTATAACAGGCGTGTAACAGCCTGTAAGAGACTATAACAGCGTATAACAGGCTGTAACAGCGTGTAACAGGCGTATAACAGGCGTGTAACAGCCTGTAAGAGACTATAACAGCGTGTAACAGGGTCTAACAACGTGTAACAGGTTTCTAAACAGCGTGTAACAGGCTCTACAGGGTCTAACAGGCGTATAACAGGTCTAACAGCAGTAACAGGTCTAACAGGCATGTAACAGTCTAACAGCGTGTAACAGCGTGTAACGGTCTAACAGCGTATAACAGGGTCTAACAGGCGTGTAACAGGGTCTAACAGGCGTGTAACAGGTCTAACAGCGTGTAACAGGGTATAACAGCGTGTAACAGGTCTAACAGCGTGTAACAGGTTCTAACAGCGTGTAACAGGGTCTAACAGGCGTATAACAGGTCTAACAGGCTGTAACAGGTCTAACAGGCGTGTAACCGGGTCTAACAGGCGTGTAACAGGTTCTAACAGCGTGTAACAGGCGTGTAACAGGGTCTAACAGGCGTATAACAGGGTCTAACAGGCATGTAACAGGGTCTAACAGCGTGTAACAGGTTCTAACAGCGTGTAACATGCGTTAACAGGTCTAACAGGCGTGTAACAGGTCTAACAGCGTGTAACAGGGTATAACAGGCGTGTAACAGGTTCTAACAGCGTGTAACAGGCGTGTAACAGGGTCTAACAGGCGTGTAACAGGGTCTAACAGCGTGTAACAGGGTATAACAGGCGTGTAACAGGGTCTAACAGCGTGTAACAGGCGGTAACAGGGTCTAACACTGCGTGTAACAGGTCTAACAGGCGTGTAACAGGGTCTAACAGGCTGTAACAGGTCTAACAGGCGTGTAACAGGTTCTAACAGCGTGTAACAGGCGTGTAACAGTCTAACAGGCTATACGGGTCTAACAGGCATGTAACCAGGGTCTAACAGCGTGTAACAGGGTCTAACAGCGTGTAACAGTTCTAACAGCGTGTAACAGGCTGTAACAGGTCTAACAGCGTTAACAGGTTCTAACAGCGTGTAACAGGCGTGTAACAGGTCTAACAGGCGTATAACATAGGGGTCTAACAGGCATGTAACAGGGTCTAACAGCGTGTAACAGGGTCTAACAGCGTGTAACAGGGTCTAACAGGCGTGTAACAGGTTCTAACAGCGTGTAACAGGGTATAACAGGCGTGTAACAGGGTCTAACAGGCGTGTAACAGGTTCTAACAGCGTGTAACAGGCGTGTAACAGGGTCTAACAGGCGTATAACAAGGTCTAACAGGCATGTAACAGGGTCTAACAGCGTGTAACAGGGTCTAATAGCGTGTAACAGGGTCTAACAGGCGTGTAACAGGTTCTAACAGTGTGTAACAGCATCTAACAGGCGTGTAACAGCATCTAACAGGCGTGTAACAGCATCTAACAGGCGTGTAACAGGCGTGTAACAGGGTGTAACAGGTGTGTAACAGGCGTGTAACAGGCGTGTAACAGGCGTGTAACAGGCGTGTAACAGGGTCTAACAGCGTGTAACAGGGTCTAACAGCGTGTAACAGCGTGAAACAGCCGTAAGAGACTATAACAGCGTGTAACAGGTCTAACAGCGTGTAACAGGGTCTAACAACGTGTAACAGGGTCTAACAGGCGTGTAACAGGGTCTAACAGGCGTGTAACAGGTCTAACAGCGTGTAACAGGGTCTAACAGGCGTGTAACAGGTGTAACAGGCTCTAACAGCGTGTACAGGCGTGTAACAGGTTCTAACAGCGTGTAACAGCTCTAAAAGGCTCTAACAGCGTGTAACAGGCGTGTAACAGGCATCTAACAGGCGTGTAACAGGCATCTAACATGCGTGTAACAGGGTCTAAAAGTTAGACCGTGTTATACGCCTGTTACATGCCTGTTAGACCCTGTTACATGCTGTTACACGCCTGTTACACGCCTGTTAGACCCTGTTACACGCCTGTTAGATGCTGTTACACGCCTGTTAGACGCTGTTACACGCCTGTTAGACGCTGTTACACACTGTTAGACCCTGTTACACACTGTTAGACCCTGTTACACGCCTGTTACACGCTGTTACACGCCTGTTAGACCCTGTTACACGCTGTTACACGCCTGTTAGACCCTGTTACACGCCTGTTAGACCCTGTTACACGCTGTTACACGCTGTTATACGCCTGTTACACGCTGTTACACGCCTGTTAGACCCTGTTACACCCTGTTACACGCCTGTTAGACCCTGTTACACGCCTGTTAGACCCCGTTATACGCCTGTTACACGCCTGTTAGACCCTGTTACACGCCTGTTAGACCCTGTTATACGCCTGTTACACGCTGTACACGCCTGTTAGACCCTGTTACACGCCTGTTAGACCCTGTTATACGCCTGTTAGACCCCGTTATAACGCCCTGTTACACGCTGTTACACGCTGTTAGACCCTGTTACACGCTGTTACACGCCTGTTACACGCCTGTTACACGCTGTTACACGCTGTTAGACCCTGTTACACGCTGTTACACGCCTGTTAGACCCCGTTATACGCCTGTTACACGCTGTTACACGCCTGTTAGACTCTGTTATACGCCTGTTACACGCTGTTACACGCTGTTACACGCCTGTTAGACCCTGTTACACGCTGTTAGACCCTGTTACACGCCTGTTAGATGCCTGTTAGACCCTGTTACACGCTGTTACACGCCTGTTAGACCCTGTTATACGCCTGTTACACGCTGTTACACGCCTGTTAGACCC